TTTTTTTATGGGGCAAGTTTTCAAGGGCGGGTTTTCTAGGGGCGAGTTGACTGCCAAAGAGTGTTGCCAAAGTGCGAGCCAGCGTGTTATTTGATCACAAGTGCGAGACATATCACAAGTGTGAGCCAGCGAGCAATGACGTCACGACAATAGATAGAGACGTTAGCCAGTGCAGTTGTGCGAGGTATCGGCGGAGATTTGTGTACAATTCAAAAAACAACTATAGGTCTAATAATGAATTATTGTGATGTTAAATAGACAATGTTAGCTATCAAAGAGCGACGTTGTTTTTCATTGGGACCTTCGTCCCTCAAGGCTTGGCCTATACCATCCTAGCTAGTCTAGGCCTAGCGTAGGATAAGGCTGCAGCTAGCGCGACATGCGAACGTTGGTACGAGTAGGTTAGTCTACAAAACGTCGCCTAAAGTAATTGATTTTACCGGGCAGAACGAAAGAAGGAAACTCCGCTTTTCAGTCGTCTTAGGCAGTCGTTTTTTGACAAACAATGACCTTTCAGGGGTCAAATTGCTGTCAAGAATATGAATTGACTGCTTCGCAGCAATAAACAAACAAGCATACCCACATTCATAAAAATAATGATATACTGTATCTTAAATTATACTAACTTAGTCAATGTTATCCTTTGACCACATGTTTAAAAAAATTAGTGGGGTTTGAACTTTAGAAGAAAATTGGTATGATGTCATTATTACTGTACTGTCATGTGGATACTTGTCACAGGGGCGGATCCATAATTTTCCAAAGGGGAAGGGGGCGCACACAACAGTTCAAGAATAGATAAAAGAGTAGCACATAAAATTAATATGCATTGAATTTTTTAAAATAGTGGCAAAACTGCCCCTGTCTCACACTACTACACCATTCATTTGTGCACCTTCTGACACACCTACATACGTAAAAATAATTTAAATTCCTATGCTGATTAACAATTACACAAATAAAGTTGCTCCCATTTACACATATAGGCCTAAATCGTCAATCTACAAATACAATTACAAAATTGTATAATTCAATTACAAATATAGTTTGCTTTTTTTAAATACAAAACCCCAATCAGTGGCGGATGTAGGGGGGGGGGGTCATGAATGGGGTGGCTAGCCACCCCTCTTTGTTTACCGTGAAAAAAAAAAACAATGGTCACTCGTCTTGTGTGTGTGCTTCTCGTGCACTCTAATAAAACATACACTTTCTTTTTTAAGCTGAAAAGTGCGCAATTCTATTATACAGTAGTTTTAACTTGTTAGAGGCCATCTTGGTAGTCGGATTTGCAAAGACTGTAATTCAAACATGGAGTAATTATCAAAAAGTACCAAAAAAACACTTTTTAGAACCTTAGTAATCAAAGCATTGTTTGCATTTATAATAAATACAAGAATAGGGCGACGATAAATTCACCCTTGTTATAGTTCGCACTAAATGCATCCGCTCGAACTGGTATCCGCTCGAACTGACATCCGCTCGAATTGATATTCGCTCGAATTGTCTTATCGCACGGTAACCGTGCGAACCTATGGAACGCCGTTACTGCCTTTGGTGGCTCTTTTCCGTTCGGCGCATTTGCTATTCGGCCCTTTTAACATTACGTTCGGTGCTTTTACATTACGTTCGGTGCTTTTTACATTACGTTCGGTGCTTTTACATTACGTTCGGTGATTTTTACATTACCTTCGGTGCTTTTAACATTACGTCGGTGCTTTTTACATTACGTTCGGTGCTTTTACATTACGTTCGGTGCTTTTTACATTACGTTCGGTGCTTTTTACATTACGTTCGGTGCTTTTAGTAACATTACATTCGGTACTTTGAAACATTACGTTCGGTGCTTTTATCATTACGTTCGGTGTTTTTGCCACACTTATGGATCTTTTATCATTTGGTGTTTTTTAGTTTTACCTTTCGGCCCTTTCATCATTACGTACGGTTCTTTTATCATTCGGTGCTTTTATGACCTTTGATTTCGGGTCAAGTGGAAAAAAATCAACGGCTGTGGGAACGAGCCTAGTGGAACTTGCGCGCTCCTTCTCTCTTTCATTTTTTTTTCTTTTCTTCTTTCAACTTCTTAGTTTCATTACTGTTACGCTATATTATATTCATGTTTTGAAACACAGGTGCGCACGCATTCTTCA